TGGGTTTTGTCTTTGAATCCATTCTGTTAGCCTGTGTCTTTTTATGGGTGAGTTAAGGACATTAATATTGAGGGATATTAATGACCATTGATTGCTCATTCTTCTTTGATTTGGAATGGTTCTTGTTGGTGTGATTATGTGTGGAATTCCACCCTTTTTTCTTTTGGCTGATGGTAATGTGGGATTATCTAATGCCTACATTTTTCTGGTTGTAGTTAACTTCCTTGGGTTGGAGTTTTTGTTTCAGAAATTTCTGTAGGGCTGGGTTAGTGGATATGTATTGCTTGAATCTAGTTTTGTCATGGAATATCCTGTTTTCTCCATCTATAGTAATTGAGAGCTTTGCCAAGTATAGTAGTCTGGTCTGGCATCCATGGTCTCTTAGTGTTAGTAGAATATCTATCCAGGACCTTGTGGCTTTAGAGTTTCCACGGAGAAGTCAGGTGTAATTCGGATAGGTTTGACTTTATATGTTACTTGGCCTATTTTCTTAGCTGCTCTTAATATTTGTTAAACCCACAGGAATTGCTCTGTACACAAACTTCATTATTGAATAGTGTACGTTTATTTTATTGTTAACAATGAGAGTATTTCAATGACTAGGTTTATGTCAACCTGGAGCAAGCCACAGTTATCTGAAGGGAAGGAACCTCAGTTGAGAAAATACCTCCATTTTCTGGTTCTTGGCATATTCCAAATTAGTGATTGATAGAGAATGACTCATCCCCTAAAATATGGTACCCTCCATGGGCTGGTTGCCCTAGGTTCTATGAGAAGTAGGCTCACCAAGCCATGATGAGCAAGCCAGAAAGTCACACACACCCATGGCCTCTGCATCAGCTCCTGCTTCCAGAATCCTGATTGGGTTCCTATTCTGACTTCTTTGGCTGATGAACAGTGATGTGGAAGTGTCAGCCAAATAAACCCTTTCCACTCAGATTAGCTTTTGGTCCCAATGTTTCATCATAGCAGTCAAAACTCTTATGAAAACAAGAATATAAATACCAGAAACAATCTCTTGCAAAGACTATAGGGCCAAGAGGAAAGTCTGTTTTTATGGGATTGGCATAATCACTTACACCTTTTCTACAGCTACCAGCTTGTGGTCAGACACTGTAGGATTCCACATGGCTCTTGGCAGAATAACCATGAAGAGATAACTGCCAGGAATTTGTAATAAAGCCTGTTGCTACATGATAATTTCTTTCCCACAGTGGATGTTTGTATTAAATTGTGCTTCCTAGCTTTGGGGCCTGAATGGTGTGGGATGTCTTGTGGAGAGTCTATTCCCCCACCAACACACCATTCAGACATATTGTGGTTTTGAACCACAAAAAAAATCTCCCAGTGATGTAAGGCAAGTCTGTCTCATGGCTGCATAGGTTTCCACATGACTCAATGACATTTCTAGAGTCTCCAATTTAAAATTTGACTTAAGCACAGGGACATTAGTCCCTGCCTCTTATAGCTCACTGAATTGTAGCAAACACTGAGGACAATTCAAGTTTCTGTGCTGACTCAACCCCACAAACTTTCTTCAAATCACAGATAGTAGAGGAGGGTGGTTATCATAGTTCATGGCTGGCAGGATAATGTCGTTCCAAAGTCATTCCATCACGACTGTTAGGTTTTAATTATACTGAATTTGGACATTATAGATTCTCAACTGTCTGCCTTAGCTCATAAACTTGGTCTAAGAATACCTTCTCAAATAGTGGGTCTATGGGAATATGACATTTGGAGGACCTTATTAATTCCTCTTTGAATAATTATCTGAATAAGTTACAAGGACAGCCAACATTAATAGCACAGATTCATAAATGATAAAAGTATTCATTACAACAGGCATTACAATTTAAAACATATCTGTGAAATATTTGAACAAGTTTTGGCATTTCTTCTACTCTTTGCTCTTCATTATTAAAATGTAGGATTGAAATTTCCCTATGGATCATAACAAGGTAGATACTTGAGACACTGGCAAAACGACTATTTTATTTAGTTGACAGAGCTTATCATGTCAAAAAGAGATCTCTCTGGCTACTCTTCCAGAGGTCCTGAGTTCAATTCCCAGCAACCACATGGTGGCTCACAAACAAATGTAATGAGATCTGGCGCCCTCTTCTGGCCTTCAGCATACATGCAGACAGAACACTGCACACATAACAAATAAATAAATCATTATAAAAAGATAGCTCTCTAGGATTCTACCTGTGAATGCTAATTCCTTGAAAGAAGAGGTAAACATGAAGACCAACTGACTGATTAAAACTACACATTCCTGTTAAACATGCCTTGCCAGCCGCACAGCCTTGCATTCCCCTGTTATTAAAAGGAGACAGAGAGCTTTGCTTTTGTCGTTATGTAACATATGTCATTACCTATATGACTTAGGGGAAGTGGGCAAGATCCTTTGTGTCATCCTAGTTCTCCTCCTGGTCCTCACAGGTCAGGTTCAACTAATCTTGGCAATGACCTTAGTTTTTCTCAGAGTGGGGACTCATCATATGATTTCCTGTGGTAACAGATGCCGTATGGTGTTTGCAGTTTTCCCCTGGGCCCCTCCTTCTGAACACTTGTGATCCACCTGAAATTATAAAATGGAATGAAAGAGCTTTGTTTTTTCTTATTTTTCTAATCCAGTTGTACAATTCAAAATACCACTGTGGTTTTGTTTATAACTATTTATATCTCAATATATTTGCTCTGGGAAAAGAATTTCTGCAATTGAATATATATAATAAAATTGCTGAGTCTAGGTTTGTTTAATGTTTGTATGTTTTAAGAAAAAAAATTACTGTTGTGAAGAAGCTAGAAATTTACAAGTCCAGAATGAAATGACCACTAACCATCTTAGTTTCCTTTATAGTAATTTTTCCCAAGTCTTTATATGACCTATCTTGTTTGGGAGTATTAGGTTTCTTTTGAGTATATAAATAGATACTTATCTTGTACCAACCAAAATGCTAAAAGTGTCAGAAAGCATCTGAGACCTTTACCAGGAATTTCTCTACATTTCAAAGTTAGGTTACCTAAGACTTCCATTGAAAAATTTGATGAATGTCTTTGTTTTATATTTTATTTGAAATTGTACTCATATGATATCAAAGTGTTGGGGGAAATATTGTTCATGTTTTTATAGCCACTGTGCTTCATATGTGGCTCCAGAATGTACTATTTATTCTTATTCCTTTGAGTGAGAGCTATTTCTTAGACACAGAAGAGGGATTATTTCAGAAGAGGACTGGAAGTCAAAATGAGGAGAAACAAATGGAAAAGACAGGTTGTGTGTAATGTCAAAGTCATGATATACTTGAATGAAATTGACACTATGAAATCTGTTCAATTGTGTAATTAAATGCACTAGTAAATTTCCCTAAAAATATCAAAAAATGTGATGTTGTTGAGAGAAGAGACAAGCTAAGAAACAAAATGTAATGAAGGGTCAATAAAAGGTTTTCTCAGAAGTCAAATCATCTTTGATTGAGTGAAAGTGATTGGTTATGTTCCATGTATCAACAACAGCTCTTTCCTTAAAAGAGCAATGGAAAATGTCAACAAGATTAGTTCAGAGGCAAACCTCTCTTTAAGTGTCCATTGATATTCATATTTTATTAAAGGAAAAGTTGATACTGAGAATCATGTTGACTTGCAAATGTGCTAGACCAAATACCACTCCAGGCATGAAAAAAATCTACTGAGACTGTTTTCTTCATACCTATTATTTGGATTTTAGAGAAATATAATTTGGGCAACAAATTATTGCGTACTTTGTTGTAAATAATGAGGATAACCATGACTTTGCATTATTGAAATTTATCTTAACTCCCTGTAATCTTTGAGCAAACGATAATGACATAATTGTTAACTAGAGTCATAGTCCCATGACTATTAGTGTTTAGGATAAGTATAGTGACAGAGTTCACAGTTAAGCAATTATGATGGACATAGTTGAACTGTATGCCTTTATGTAAGTAAGGGGACAAAGTGAAAGAAATGTTTGTTAAGTTATAAATGCTACCTTTGGCCTAGGCATTTTAATACTTAGTACCCACTTTGTGGTGCTATTTGGGGGGAGGTTAGGTTATATGAATTATTGTTACAGACTCTATAGACCATTGTGCTTATCCAGTTTTACATCTTTGCTTGTGGGACTAGGGAATTCAAATTTCTTTCCTTAGGTATCTATGGTAAAGCCAGGGAAGTAGGTATGCCCCTTAGAGAGTCAGTTTTATTTCTGTGTTCTTCTGGCTATGAGCTGTGAGACACTGAGAGTTCTTCCTGTGCCATCTCCTTCAAAAAAAAGGTGTTTCATGACTGAATTACACACCACTGAAAAACAAAGAACTTTCTTTAGCTAAAAGCTTAACATACATTTTCTGATTCAAGATGTGTTACTGATGGCTATGTTTTATTATCTTACTTTTATTAATGACTAAATAGTTAAATAAAGATCTTTAAGGCTTACTTTGTTGAACAAAATATGTCCAAATGTATAATAAAACAAAGAATTATTTAAGATGTATATGACCATGTTGGCTCACAATTTTATTTATGGAAATTGGGAAAATGTAGCAGAGGAATTGTCAGTCTGAGGTCAATCTAAGCTACACGGTAAGACTTTGTTAGAAAAGACATATATTTCAAAGAACATAAAAACTCTTCATAAGTCATCAACACTTCCCTGGTCACTAACTGAGAATATAAATGTTGAGCAGTTTTCTTAAATTTCAGAATTAGTCCATTGCTTCTCAAGAGTAAATGCACAGTATAAATGCATTTGTTTATTTTTATTAGCATTATTTGGACAATAATCAGTACTGTTAAACTGGAAATTCAATTGGGTACACTGTAAAGAAAGACAAGTGTAAAGAACATCTTATTTTTTTAACACTATCAAAAGGACAAAGTCTACTTGAGAGAGAGATTAAAAGTTATCTAACTGGTTATTCAAGTATGTTTCAAGAGGAACATGTTGACACAGCAGACAGGGTTATAAAAGCTCCATGCTGACTGATCACAGCTGTGTCAGTGAGAAAGGTCTCCATGGATGCAGTTGTGGTGTTGGTGTTTATTCTCTCCTGTCTGTTTCTCCTCTCACTCTGGAAACAGAGCTCTGAGAGAGGGAAGCTCCCTCCTGGCCCTACTCCTCTCCCACTTATTGGCAATTTGCTCCAAATAGATTTGAAGGACTTCAGAAGATCCTTGACCAATGTAAGTATTCTTTGTGCTCCACCAATATGTTGATAAAGAAGATACATTGAAAGTTACTTTTAATGAAAATCTAGTATCAGAGGCAGGATTGGTGTAAATAACCATGAAGTCAAAACTCTTTCAAAGTACTGTATACTTTATGACTTTTACAGCAAGTCCTTGTAGGAATTCAGTAAAGAGAAAGTTTTCACGTGAAATGACATGTATGTCAGTGCATTATATAAAAAAGAAAAAATACCATAAAATTGCAAAATCTGTGACTATTTCCTATCTTAAAACAGCTCTTTCACTATTTATGGTTGAAGGTCAATAGTGTGTAATAGATCATTCAATATAATGGGTAGAATTTAACACATCCATTTTTACTGATGTTATCTAGTTAATTCTGGACACTAAAAGAACTTACTGATGCGTAATTTAACTAAATACAAATGGACATAAAATATTGCAAGAACTTAAAGAAAGAAGACAAGGTTTTGGCATATTGGTGATATTTATAGCTACTTTTAATCTTTTAATACCTGTGTCTTGGGCTAAGAATGTTTCCAGAGAAGGAATTGTTTTTCCAGGAAATATTGCATGCATATGTGCAGTGTCTGTGGTGCCCAGTATCGGTAGCTGACTGCCAAACCTGGATTGCTGAACAGAGTCATTTCTGCTGATTTACTAATTTACATCTCAAATCTAAGTAGGCCTTGCTTTGTTATTTTCTTTCTGCCTCATTTCGTCTGTTTCTTTGGCCTACTTGTCTATTTTTCGTTAGTAACAGACTGTTTATATCACTATATCTCTGTAATATAATTTTAGATCAGATATTGTTATACCTTGAACAGCATTTTTAGTTCTTAGGAGTCCCTAGACTATTCTTTGTTCTTTGTGGTCCCATATGAAGTCCTCTGTTCTTTTTCTAAACTGCAAATATGACATCAGAAGTCTGATTCATAGCATTATATCTATAAGCTCAGTAGTATATATTTAGTAATAAGGGTGTTTTGTTCCTTGGTTTCTACTTCTTATCAGGTCTTCTGGCTGTAGGGGGCCTGTGTTTGAATAGAGTGTCCAAACCTGTGGGCTGGACTTCTGTAGATTAGAGTGGAGAGGCCTTTTTTAAAACACAGCATTTCTGCCAACATTGGGGGACTGGGACTTGGTGGGTAGGATAGTAGGGGTGATTGTGGGTAGGGTAATTGGTGAGGGCTCAGGTACTTATTGCACAAGATTATAATGTGTTTTCACATTAAAACATTCAGCAAGAAGCTGGCCATCAAAACGCCATATAGGCCAACTCCCTGTCTCCTGACGTTCCCCACTCTCTCAGTGCCAGATTGCATGATTCACTGTAGGTGATGAAAACTGATAATCACCATAATGTGACATAAATATGTTTCAGAACAATTTGAAGCTGACTTTTGTCTGAATAAAAATATTAATGTACAGTCAGTGATAATGTTGTGTGAAAGAGGTTGACGCCATGGTGATCAAACTGAGTTTTCTTTGCTACTTTTTCCATTTTTCTTTCCTGTTCCCAGTTCTCAAAAGTCTATGGCCCTGTGTTCACCCTGTACATGGGCAGGAAGCCCGCTGTGGTGTTGCATGGGTATGAAGCAGTGAAAGAGGCTCTGATTGATCATGGGGAGGAGTTTGCTGCAAGAGGAAGCTTCCCAGTAAATGAAAGAATTAATAAAGGCCTTGGTAAGAAAGTATCTATTTAGCCTTGGGTAGTAGATCAGTATTTATTCCTTGTATACAAATGGACTTTGGTCGCCCATCCAACAAAGATAAATGCACTCTCACCCTATCAGATCTCATCTGTTCCCAGAACCTATTTCTGGTCTTTTATTATTTATTCAGGCATTCTTTTTAGCAATGGAAGCAGATGGAAAGAGACGAGGAGATTCTCACTCATGACTCTGAGGAATCTGGGTATGGGCAAAAGGAGCATTGAGGACCGTGTACAAGAGGAAGCACAGTGTCTTGTGGAGGAACTGAGGAAAACCAATGGTAAGTGCAGGTTTATACATTTACATCTCAGTCAGGTATGTGTGTATGTCATGTTTTTATTGTTTTGTTATTCAGAAGCAATGATTATAAGTTTCATGTAAATTTTGTGTAGAGTTTCAGAACTAAGCATTTCCATTAGCGCAGAAGTAATTTGTCTTTGTGGTCATTCCATCACTGAAAAAGTGGTGTGTTAATGGTGACAGAGCCCAATCAGAGGATATTTGTTTACATTTTCTGGGATCACAGTATTCTGAGCAAATTAACTGAGCAGTACAGGGCTTCTTCTAGGGCCATGTTTACAGTGCTGGGTAACAATGAGGTTATTTATCGTTGCCTTTTCTTAGTTGAATGCAACAGAATTTTGATCAATGATAGTGTCTCCTATAGAGTGACATCAAATTATATGGGTATTTTCATAAAATTATTCACTACATTGAGAAAGTTACATAGTATGTTTTGATCATGATTCCTCACCAACTTCAGTCCCATGCAGTTTGCCAAGCTGTCAGTACATAGTCCATGAGCTCCCACTCCTTCAGGTCAGCTGTCTCTGTAGTTTTCCATTTCATGCTTGACCCCACTTACTCATATGTTCTCCTCCTCCCTCCTTCAGCTGACCTCTGGGAGTTCAGTCCAGTGGTTGTCTATGGATAACTGGATCTGCTTCCATCAGTTACTGGATGTAGGTTCTTTGATGACAATTTACAGTAGTCACTAATCTGATTAAAGGGCAAGTCCCGTTCACACACCCTCTACACTATTGCTAGAAGTCATAGCTGGTGTCATCTTTGTGGATTCCTGAGAATTTCTCTAGCATTAGATTTCTCCCTAACCCCATAATGGCTCCCTCAATCAAGATATCTCTTTCAAGATTGCTCTTATCTTCTGTCTCTCCCCCAACTCTTGTCTTCTTGATTCCTCATGTTCCCATCACCTATCTTCTATGAGCCTTTTCAGTCTACCCAGGAGATCTTAAGTATTTCCATTCCTGGGGCCCTCCATGTCTGTCCATCTTAGGGTCCCACTTTTTATCTAACTTCTCAGGGCTTCTGGATTGTAGCCTGGTTATCCTTGGCTTTGCATCTAATATCCACTTATGAGTGAGTACAAGCCAAGTTTGTCTCTCTATTTCTGGGTTATTTCATTCAGGATGTTTTTTCCTAATTCCACACATTTACCTGCAAATTTCAAGATGTCATTGTTTTTTACAGGTGAGTAATATTCCATTGTGTAAATATACAACATTTTCTTTATCCATTCTTTGGTTGAGGAGCATGTTGGATGTTTTCAGGTTCTGGCTGTTACAAATGATGCTGCTATAAGCAAAATTGTGCAAATGTCTTTGTGGTATGATTGTGCATCCTTTGGGTATACCACCCAAGAGTGGTATTGGTGAGTCTTGAGATAGTTCCTAATTTTCTGAGAAACTGCCATTCTGATTTCCAAAGTAGACTTACAAGTTTGCAATTCCCCAGAAAATGAGGAGTGTTCTCCTTACGCCACTGTCAAAATTGTTTTTAATTTTAGCAATTCTGATAGATGTAAGATGGTATCTTAGAGGTTTTGGATTTGTGCTTCCCTAATGCAAAAAAATTATGATTAGTTCCTTAAATATCTTTCAACTATTTGAGTTTCCTCTGTTCAGAATTCTCTGGTTATATATGTAGCCGATTTTTATATTGGATTATTAGGTTTTTTGGTGCCTAGTTTCTTGAGTACATTGCATATTTTAGAGATCAGTCCTCTGTAAAATGTGGGCTTGGTTTAGATCTGTTCCCATTCTGTAAGCTGCTGTTGTGTCCTATAGACCGTGCCCTTTGCCTTACAGAAGCTTCTCAGCTTTGGTATGTCCCATTTATTGTTTGTTGGTCTCAGAGTCTGTGCTACTGCTGATTTATTTAGGGTGTAGTCACACGTGCCCATGCATTAAAGGATACTTTCCTCATTCTCTTTTGTCTGGTCAGTGTAATTGGATTTATGTTGACATCTTTGATTCACTTGGTCTTGAGTTTGGTGCATGACAACAGATATGATCCATTTGCATTCTTCTACAAATTGACATCCAGTTATCCCAGCACCATTTGTTGAAATTGTTTTCTTTTTTCCCTATTGTACAAATTTGGTTTCTTTGTAAAAAATCAGATTATTGTAGGTGTATGGATTAATTAGTCAGAGTCTTTGATACAATTCCACTGATCTACATGTCTGTTTCAATGCCAATCCCAAATTGATTTTTATTACTTATCTGTATAGTACAAATTGAAGTCAGGAATGCTGATGCCTCTGGAAGATTTTCTTGTACAGGATTGTTTTGGCTATCCTGGGTTTTTCATTTTTCCATATTAAGTTGAGTATTGTTCTTTTAAGGTCTGTGAAGAATTGTGTTGGAGTTTTAATGGGAATTGCATGAATATGTAGATTACTTTGTGTATGATTGCCTGTTTTACTATGTATATCCTAACTATCTAAGAGCATGGTAGATCTTTCCATTTTCTGATATCTTCTTCAATTTCTTTCTTCAAAGACTTGAAATTCTTATCATAAAGTTTTTCACTTGTTTGATTACTGTTACCTTACGATATTTTATGTTATTTGTGGCTATTTTAAATGGTGACACTTCTCTGAATTCTTTCTCTTCCCTTTTATCTTTTCATTATAGTAGGGCTACTGGTTTTTTTAGTTACTCTTGTATCCTGCCACATTACTGAATGCATTTATCAGCTGTAGAATTTTCCTGATAGAGTTTTTTAAGTCACTGAGGTATAATGCCATGTCATCTATAAATAATGGGATTTTGACTTCTTCCCTTTGAATTTCTATTCTCCTGATCTCCTTTTGTTGTCTTATTTCTCTAGCTAGAGCATTGAGTACTATACTGACTAGCTATGGAGAGAGTGGACATGCTTGACTTGTCCCGATTTTAGTGGGATTGCTTTGAGTTTCTCTACATTCAGTTTGATGTTAGCTATTGTCTTGCTGTACATTGCCTTTATTACATTTAATTGTGTTCCTTGAATGCATGACGTCTCCAAGACCTCTATGTTCCTTCACCTTTTGAAGCTTCTGAGTTTGTCATCATCTACTGTAAACTAAAGTTTCTCTGATGGTGGTTGAGACATTTCTTGTATGTCTGGCTTTCTTCTGGATTATGTTTGACTTACCAGGGGTTATACCCTTAAAGAAAACTGACTCAACTTCTTAGGAGAGTTAAGTAGTGCCTGTAGCTTCCTGACTTTTGTTGGGACTTTGCACCCACCTCCCCTCCATACTGTGATTCTGTCTGCCTCAAGCTTACATGGGTCTTGTGAACATTGTCACAACTGCTGTAAGGTTACAGGTGCAGCCGCCTTGCTGTGTGCATGACCACTGTTTTCCTAGTAGTCACAAACCACCTCTGTGTTTTTCTGCTCACTCTTCCATAATGATCCCTAAAACTTATGAATAAACAGTGAGGTATAGATGTCCCATTTATGGCTAAGCATATGTCTTTTTGCTCTCTGCCTTGTGTGGCTGTGGTTCTGTGTTAATAATCATCTATAACATTAGGCCTTTCTCTGATGTGAACTGAGAGATGCATTAATCAAGAGTTATCATGAGATTATTTGGAGTTGATTTATACTGTGCCCATGTAACAGAGGAATAGTAGTAGATCCTTCCCCACGGTTGATTATATGTCTAGGCACAGAATCTTGGCCGATAATGATGTCAAGTAAGGCTTTATTTTATGGAACAGGTCTTAAAATGAAAATTAATGCTGTTTGTAACTTCCATGATGCTTATGCTACTATGGTACCAGTTGATATTCCTTGACAGGCAAATTGTTATTTTAACTTTCACAGTTTAGAGCTAGGTAATATTGATCATAACTTTTCTCTTCTAGTACCTACATAACACCTTCCAGCACTACCAGAGCTAGCCTTTATAAAAATTTTGAGAAATGTAAAATTAATAAATCTTCAAAAATGAACAGATAATGTCATAAAAATTGGATAGGAAGGAGGCTTAATGTGGTCGTGCATGATTTTTATACTACTACTCAGGAGTCAGAGACACATAGATATCTGTGAGATCAAGCCCAGCATCTTTACAAAAATTCCTCGACAAGCAAGCCTATGCTTTTCTCAAAAACAAAAGATTAAGAAAAAACTAATCAGGAATATATAAAATCAAGGCTGAATTAAATTAACGATGTATAAACTAACAAAAATGCAGAGAATCAATGAAGAGTTATTTCTTTGAAAAGATTAACCGGGGTAAAAAAACGTTCAGTAAATTCAACCAAAGCAAAGATATGCACCAAATGTCTAAAACTGCAGTTGAATTGGGATACATTTCAACACACTGTGTAGTTCTGGCTGTCATGGAACTTGCGCTGTATTTACCCTCAAATGCACTTATCTGTCACCGTAATGCTGGGATTAAAGGTGTGTGCCACTACTGCACTACTGAAATTCAGAAAATCTTAAAGATGAAGTAGAAAGTTCTATCCCACCAAACTGAAAAATCTGAAAGAAACAGATCTCTGTCTCTCTCTGTCTCTGTCTCTGTCTCTGTCTCTGTCTCTCTCTCTCTCTCCTCCCTATTTCTCTCTGTCAATACTCAATATATATATATATATATATTTTTTTGTCCTGCCAAATTCAAGTCAAATTTCAATGTACAATTCATATAGACTCAAACATTCAATGATATGGGAGCTGTAATTAAAATCTCTTAACTACTATAGATGAGGACCATGAGGATTCAGGCATAATTCTACCAGAGCTTCAGAAAAGAACCAATGCCAATACTCCTTGAATTATTTACTAAAGGATAAAATGATGAAAGATTTCTAAAAACCTTTGTACAAGGTTGGTATTTCCCTGAAGCAAAACCAAGCAAAGCATAAAAGAAACAAAACAAGGGTTGAAGGAAAGAGAAAGGAAGAAGGAAGAAAAGAAGGATAGAATGGAAGAAAACTATAGGCTAACATCTCTGAAGAACATGGAGAAAATATTTTTCA